CCCCCCAATCCTTGGTGGGGAGCGCACGGACCTTTGTCCCCCTGCCAAGCGCTGGCAGCCTCGGCCCTACCAGTGCAGGGGCCCCGTCCCTATCACCACTGACACCCCTTAAGCCCCCCCGGCCGGGCTGAGCTCCTGTGACACGATTCTCTGCTCCAACCTGCCTGGCCCTGCGTGGTTTTCCTCCCTTACAGCTCTGGGAGTCAGCAAGTTTCCCTAGCAAGGCGTGACAAGTAGCTGGAAGCTGTCCCCCAACTCCAGCCATGCTCGGCTGGCCCATGCCAACTTCCCAGTACCAGTATACTGGTATACCAGTATATACTCTCAGTACCAGTGAGGCAGAGCCCAGCCCACACCACAGGCGGGACCGCTCTCAGCCACGCTGGCACGCAGCCGTGGGAGGAAACCGGGCTGGGGGCTGGCAGCTGCAGACAAGAAGCTACAAAGAAACTGCTTTATTTGGGGTTCCAGAGCCCCTATCTGGAGTGGTGGGGAGGGGGCTGCCTGATGTCAATTCCTTTTCCTGCCTTTGCCGACAGCCTTGGCGGGAGCAGTGACGGGAGCTGCGGACTGGTAGAGGGTGGAGGAGATCTTGTTGATGTAGTAGAGGCCAACCATGGAGAAGATGAGGCTGTGAGGAAAGAAGAGGCTGCTCAGCTGCTGGGAAGTGACAGGGCTGAACCAACCCCCTTCCCCTGCCACCCCCCTGGGCCATGGTGCCTGACACTGGCCCTGCCCGCTGTCCAGTTCCCCTGGCATGAGCCATCGGGTCACCAGCAGCAGCACAACGGCTGCTCCAGGGCAGGCTCTTTTACTTACCAGGTGGTCACACAGACTCGGTGAATGAGGCCAGAGGCAAAGAGAGCCAGCAAGAGGCAGGTGAGGACTGAGGGGAAAAAACATAAGAGATGAAAGATGCACCCACAGTGCCCAAGCTGTCAGCCTCAGAGCAGCAGGGGCGAGAGCTGTGGTGGCGCTGCTGGACAAACCTACCCACAGCAGAGGAAAAGCTCAGGGGCTGCTACCAGGGTGGCCCCTTTCCCCCCCTCTGTACCACTGGAAGAGCACACAGCAGGCAGGGCCCCACCACAGGCCCTGCAAACCCCAGCAGACCTGACACCTTCAGACAACAGCCGCTCCCTCCCCACCCCACTTACTCTCAGGGAATATCTTGGCCTGGAAGCCCTTCCCAAAGACGAGGTTCTCCAGGTTGTTGAAGGCCTGAGCAGAGGGTTAAGGGCCAGAACAAAACACTGCAGCCCCGACCTCGCTCCCTGCGGCCCCAAAGGATACAGTGAGGGAGCAGACGAAGAGCGCGGAGCCCAGCAGCCCCCCCTGGATGGTCAGCCACTCGGTGGAGGCCAGCTGCCGGCTGTGACACTG